AGATAGAAAGAGAGAAAGAGAGGCAACGCTTAAAAAGATTGCCGTTTGGCCGCAGTTGATGACAACGTTGCGTGGTGGCTGCTTCCGCGCGCTGTCAAAACGGAAGCGCCAAAAGCCGCCAGCGAATGTCGCTTCCAATGAAACGTGTCTCTTTTTCGACTTTTCGATCGTTCAAGATAGAGCGAGAACGGGAGTGCAGGGGTGACATGGAACTAGAGAGAGTGACAGGCAGTGAGAGTGAGATCGTCAGCGTGTGCTCTAATTGCTGTACTTTAAAAAATTTTGTGAATGCGCGCTTTGAGCTAAAACAATTTATGCTCTCTACACGCACAAATATACTAAGCAGGCATATTTTTTCAATATTAATATGTTTGACTTAAATAAAAATAATAAAAACAAAAATATTAGTTCCAAGAATATAATTTATAAATGTATTTGAATATATACAAATATATTTTATATGTAAAATGAGTTTTGATTTTGATGTAAATTAACCTAAAACTAGCTTTGTTAGTAAATAAACTTTGATCAACATATGCGCTCCTAGGGTATTACGCTGTCGATCACTTGTTGCCTATTTCAGTTTTTGGGCATATTTTACATTGGGGCGCTTCTGCTGCCGATGTTGTTGTTGTAACTTTTGTTTAGGTTCTGCCTCTTTAACGGTATTATGATTGCAGTTGTTCTCGTCTACAGATGCCGTTATTGTTGTTGTTCTTGTTGTTGCGCTGTTGACAGCTGACGCTACAAGCGCCGCTGTAGATCAGCGTGCACAGTGGCACAAAATCAATGAATAAGTGTAATCAATTACGTAACTCAATTATATATAGGTATATATTCAATTAATTATTACATATTACATTTGTAGCTGTTAAGCATGTTTATGATTGCAATGAAATTTTAGAAAAGTTATTAATTTGGAAAAGTTGGTAAGCAAGATTAAATAGGTAAAAGTTCAAATACTTTTAATGACATTTTCATTTATTTTACTTACAAAGTAATTTATGTTAGTCCACTGTACAAAATGTCAAATCCAAATTCCAAAAAAAAGAAGCAAGAGAAACAAGGCAACTAATCGGAAACGCTTTGCACTTCCGTTTTTTCTTGAGATTTTTTTCTGTTCTCAGTTCATTTTTTTCAAATAACATGTCAAATAACATTTTATGTTACCCTAACTTGGAGAAGCTTCGCTGAGCTATTGTTTGTGTAACTTCTGAGCGTAGATTTATGCATTTAGATTAGCTTTTTGTATTACAATAACGATAATTATTAAAATGAATATAAAATATACACATATGTTTATTTATTAAAAATTAATAAAACTAAAACTTGTTTATTTAATAGAAAATAAGATATATGTATGTAAATATATGATTATTTTTAAGCAATATGACTTCCTTTTAAATATGCTAATATTAAAATTTTTTTAGAATTTAAAACATTTAAAATGTTTATAAACTATTTTTTAAGTAAGCGTATTCAAGTCTCTGTTTGAGCAAACTTTTTTTCTTTTCTTCATTTTCTAAATTTTTTTTGTTTACTTCGCGCATTTCAATAGAAAATTTTCAAATATTTTAGTTCCTGTCCTTACTTTGTGTGTGTGTGTGTGTTTATGTTTTAGCGCCTTTTCTGCCACTTATGTGTGAGTGCACGCGCGCGTGTATGTATGTACTTGTATGCATATATAGATTTATATTTATATTTATACATATTTGTATTTGTATTTCCATTTGTTTCTTTGTTTTTGTTTGTTTTTTTCTTGTGTGCATAAAACGCGATTTTGCTTTTGTCGCTTTGTTGTTGTTTTTGTTTCAAATTGAGTTTCGCTGTTGATACTTTCATTTAGCCCCGGCCACAGACATACGTAACTGCCACCACACCCCCGCCCCACGCAGTGCTACGGCCGTAATGCTGATGCTACCAATTTCAGTTCCAGTTTCATTTTCGAGCTGCTTGGATAATAAGTAAATGCTGTTATTATAAATATATGAGGGTGTGTGCATGTGTGTGCATGTCTCCCTCCCTCTGTGTGTGTGTGTGTGTGTGTAAATGTTGTTGTTAAGGGACTTGATGAGCGCTTCCTTTTCCGCCAGAGCCAGGCCAATTATAAAGCTGTTCAAGCCGTTCGAGCGCAAAGCATTTGCTTTCGTAGTGCGCCAAGAAATACAGCTAAAATATCAATACAGAAAACTTTAACATCATTATCATTATCATTATCATCAGGCAACATCATTTGGTATTATTACTACTGCTGCTGCTGCTGCCGCTACTGTTGTTGTCATTGTTATTATTGTTGGAGGGGCACACGTCAATAATTGCGCTCGAAAATAAGTTAAGGAAAACACAATCAAGCTGAAGAGAGCGCGACCCGCTTCTGGCGCAGATAGACAGGCTGACAGACAGATGGACGGACGGACGGACAGGCTGTGTAGCCAAGCGAAGCTCAGCAGGAGCCCAAGGAGCTTGACTGAGTGCCCTCCAAGCTCATTCTCTTTCACTCGCTCTCTCTCCCTCACTCTCTTCGGCTTTTCCATTTGCTCGCGTTTAATGTGAAAATCATGCAATGAACCAAATTCAAACGGAAATGATTCACACTCCAGCTGCAATGCTCGCATGTACTATTCAAGTGGGGGAGTCGTCTTCATCATTATCAGCAGCAGCAGCAGCAGCAGCAGGATGATGATGATGATGATGATGATGACGACGACGCCGATGACGATTGTCGTAGAAGCATCTTTAGCCAGCAATTGAAATTGCGTTTACGTACAATTGTTACAGTAAGAATAACACCATTTGAAACAACAACAACAACAACAGTACCTACTTGAACAGTATCGACAGCGGAGTGTGAGGCCAGTGGAGGGGTTACCTACACGTCGAACAGCCCCGAACACATGTAAAAACATATTGCGAGCATTGTCAACGCAAATATTTCACTTCCTGCCTTCGATTTGCCGCCCTTCGATATACGTTTGATTTTCTGCTTATCTCTCCCTTTTTCGTTCTTCCTTTTTTTTCTTTGTATGCTTAAAGTTCAAAGTTCAAGGCTCTTCACGTTTAATTAGGCATGGACAAGGACAGGTATGGGCTGGAAGCATTTCAATTACAAATTACATTTCACAGCCCAAGAAACGAAAAGGGAGAGCGCTGCTTAAAGTGACGACTGCTGTTTGAGGTATTTACTTGAATTACCTTTCTATGCGATTTTCATGAAGTAAAAGTCATGTTTATATTGAGAGAGAGTGGGTGTGAGAGCGAGAGAGGAGAGTGGGAAGAGAGTGGGAGAGAGAGAGAATGAGATGAGCAAGTGAGAAAGAATGAGGAAAATTAAAGAGGGAGAGAGAGAATGAGATGAGAGAGCCAGAGAAAGAGAGAGAGAATGAGATGAGAGAGCAAGAGAGATACAGAGAGAGAGAGAGAGACAGAAAGAGAGAGAGAGAGAGAGAGAGAGAGAGAAAGAGAATGAGGAAGAGTGAAAGAGAGAGAATGAGGAAGAGGGAGATAGGGCGAATGGGAAAGAAAGGACAAGGAGAGAGAGAGGCCTGCATGTAGCTAACCGCCTTTCTACGCGATACTCAATATGCTAAGTTCATGTTAATAGGTCTCTCTTTCACACTACAAAACTGAAAATCGCATAGAAGAGCAATTAAGCTTTAAGCAGGCTAATGTTAGCGCATGAACATTAGAGAATAATCTTTTATAGGTATAGATATAATATAGACCTGATATGAGGCTTTATAAGACTACAATTGAATCAAAGTTAATTTAAACAAGGCTTGAAGCTAATGCTTCTCTTAAGCAGGCGCAACTGCTATGACTATTAATTACTTAAACCCAAGCTAATCTCATTAGCATTTGATGTGCAGCATCACTACTTCGGCAATAATATCCTTTCTATATATACATATATACCCTTCTGTTATATAGACTTCCAATCGATTTGTTGTCAACTCAAATTGAAAACTTTAAGCATTTTCGCATATATTCGGAATTGAGAAATTGTTGGGTTCAACTGCATTGTCAGCCCCATTGTCAGACTCTGATACATTTATAATTAATTGAAAAAGCACATTTTTCACATCTTGCGAAAGAGCTTTAATTTCATTTCGTTTCGTAGAGACTGTGAAGTGCCTCACAGCGCCTTGCAACTTGCAACTTGCGACTTGCAACTAGCAAGTTGCAAGAAATGCCATTTGCAATATTTCAATTGCATTTCAATTCATTTGAGTGTCTCAGTGCGTGTGTGGGGCTGTGCCTGTGCCAGTGCCTCGACCTCGGCCTGTGCCTGTGCCTGTGCTGTAAATCTATTTTCTTTCAGTTTTCGCACAGCGCATTTAGCCCATTTTCCACTTGGCAGCCGAATGACATTCGAGCTGCAGCAGGGTTGCCAGCTGCGCCAGCTGCGACAACTCTACTCAACACACTCTCATGCAATGATTTCATTTCACTTCAAATATGCAGAGCAAATCCGTTTTCGGCCATTAAGAGCTATCACATTACTTTAAATTCACTTATTCATATCAATTTCACAAAAATCATGTCCTTTGCCCTCTACTATTCCCCGTCATAACCAAATATAATCGGAAATATTCATCTTATTTGAGTTCCGTCAACTGTTCATTGTCATTGTCATTATCATTGTCATTGTCATTGTCATTGTCATTGTCATTGTCATTGTCATTGTCATTGTCATTGTCATTGTCATTGTCATTGTCATTGTCATTGTCATTGTCATTGTCATTGTCATTGTCATTGTCATTGTCATTGTCATTGTCATTGTCATTGTCATTGTCATTGTCATTGTCATTGTCATTGTCATTGTCATTGTCATTGTCATTGTCATTGTCATTGTCATTGTCATTGTCATTGTCATTGTCATTGTCATTGTCATTGTCATCCCTATACCTTAGATGTTTCCTACGAACGTCTTATCTAGTTGCTTCGAGATGTTTGTCTGGCTACAATGCTTTGATGGTGATCGACAATTCTGTCATAGTACACGAAGGTGTCAAGTCGTATACATATTCGAAAGTAACTTATTTTTCTGAAAAGTGAAAAATATCTGTTTGATAAATCCAAGTTAAGACAATAAATAAAGGCTAGATTATGGATACAGGTAACAGAAGCTTGTCGAAAGAGCAAAATGGAAGGAAAACGTTAGTTCAGCGACTTTATTCACAGGCAACTATGAATGCTTAATGCCTGCGACAAAGCAAAAGATACGCAGAACCGGTCCGGGAGTTGCTAAGCGTCCCAGTGGTTTCATATCCCTAAACTTACTCTACCAGGACAGGGCGAAGAAGGCGAGGCATCTGCAGCTGACCGTGAGTAATGTCTAAGACCGTCAACTGACTGGCAAACTAATGCGTTGCTCACTTAGCAGAAGAGAAGGCGCAAATCTAACATGGTCAACGTGTCCACGCAGACAGACAGCACATTGGTGGTGCTGTGGAATCAAAAGGTGTTGACAACGTTGCGCTATGTGGTGCCAGCGCGTCAGGCGTGCACCTGCAATTGGAGCGATTATTATTTGGGTAGGACGATCATCAATCTCATCCATTTCCTGCTAGTCATCGCTGTGATTATTCTAAACTTGGGCGTTCTCTTTGGCATTTACGAGAAGTCCAAGCTTTTGTTTAAATTCTAGTCTCTGGCTAGTCTACGATGCTAGCTTAATATGAACTAACTATAAATATATATATATATGTGTTTATATAGCGATTGTGGCGAGAGCTTTATCGTTTCAGATTCCTAAACTCTCCTGCTCTGTCTAGCTGTCTCTCTCCACAGACATTGTCATGCACATGGACAGAGTGTGGACAGTTGTTGACATGTTGGCGCTCGAAACTGTTGCATTCTTCTCCTTGTGTGTGTTGGTGTGTGTTGGTGTGTGTGTGTTGGTGTGTTGCCTTTTCCGGTCTTTGACATTTACAACAGTTCGCCCTGACAGCATCGGGTTAGGGAAGCAACGGGGCAGCTGGCTGGAGCTGTTAGTCATAGCACATAGTAGAAAGACTGAAGGGTGAGAGTCACACACACGCCCACACACTCCCACACACACACACACGTGTGTGGTATAACCGCAATGGCGTCATAAAGATGATATCATAATTTCCTACTTTGCTTTCCTTTATTATATTCTTTTTCCCACTTTCTCATTTTGCTGTTGCACACTTTGACGCTGCGGCGACTATTTGCCTTCTGTCCGGACATTTAGTTTAGTTTTCCCTTTTCTTTATAATTTTTCGCTCGTTTTTCCCTCGTTTTGTCAAGCTTTTCAATTGTGGCGTCAATATTTGTCAGACCAGCCCAGCCCAGCCCTTAAAGTCGCCAGCATAAGCCAAGTTCCAGCGCCGTCGACGTCCTAAGGTATTACTGCCCCGCTCCGCCTGCCGCTTTAATGGCGAACGTCCAGCAAATTGTTCCAGGAAATTGAGCGAGCTGCACTTCAAGTGAATTCCACTGGCAAATGCGGCGCTATAAAAAATGTGAATAAATTTAATACCATCAAGTAAGATGTATGTATATATATATATAAATATATATAAATATAAATATAAATAAAAGCAAACGGCAACTAGAGAACGGCGCGTGCCAATCCGCAGCATTTTAGGCCGGAAATACGTTGGGGGCAGCTCTTGCTGCTGCTGCTGCTGCTGTTGCTGCAATGCAGCATTGCAATTCAAATGAAAGCAAAAGGGCTGCCCCCACGGAGCCAGAATCTATTTAAAGCACTCGACCCTAGTAGGGAACGCTGGCTATGAGAAGCGCCGAGAAGAGTGCGACTCTTTTATGTGGAAACAATAAACGGCAACTGAGTACACATACATGTATGTATCTATGTATGCGTGGCTTGCCTATGCTACAGAAAGTACGGCCTAATTGACAATAGTTGCAACAATCGATAGTTATCGATTGTGCTTGTTGTGCTGCAATGCTCTGGCTTTGTCTACAGTCCAAGTCAGAAATAACAAATTTATTCTTTTACATATTGTAGTCTTATAATCGATGGTTATATCAGATAGATTCTGATTTTCTGAATCTAGCTTCAAAAATCGATAGTTATGAATATCATTTACACACAACATGATGTTTGCAAGGTAAGAATCGAGAGATATGTTCGATTATTCAAAAGCTTATTTGTAAGTGATGTTTCGATAGTTTTTTGATAGCTCGATATACAAATAAACTATGCAATACAATCGATAGTTGTTTAAAATTAGACTTCATAACGATTCCACTAACAACGTAGCTCGATTTTTTCCAAAATTTAATATTGATCAATGTTATCGATAAGTTACAACATTAATAAGTGTTATCGATAGCTTATAAAACTACATTTCAGTAGTAAGAATTGTTTGCTAAAAGCGCATTTGGCTTGTGCCAACCGATAGCTATTATCGATAACTCACAAACTTACAACCGCTATGCATTATCGATACTTTGTTCGACTGTTCGATATACAAATAATCGTTACTTAACCTATCGCTTTCCTCCAGATGCAACAGCTTCATTTGCGCTCAAGGAGCCTGGCATGAAATTCTTGTAGCCCAATCGTATGACTGCTAAGCTAAGTGTCTTCTATTCTTGCCGGCGTCTGCACATATCGCTAATTTACTGCGGTTTCAGTTGTCTCAATAAAAATTCATGAAATGAATTAAGCATTTTTTTATGACGCCTCCGCCTTAATGACGCCACGAGAACTCGACGTTTCGCTTCGTGCTTCGTGCGTCGTGTTAACATTTAACGCACTCTTGGCCCAGCTTGGGAGCGGGTTGGCTGGCCAAGTTAATAAAATTTTATTTGCATTTGAATTCATTTGATGGCGTTTTATACTTTATTTCGATCATTTCGCCAGACAATTGACATGAAATCGAATTACGACAACTTTACGAACAAACATTAAACCTCGAATAAATCGAAATGAAATTTGAACCAAGATTTTCGGCTACAAATTCTTCAGCACGTCCAGGCAAATGTAGAAGCTGATCAGGAATCCACAGGTCACCAATGCGACGGACAAAATGGACTGCAGCTGCTCCGAAAAATACGCATTGCGAGCGCATTCGATAATCGGCAGACTCTCTAACTCTGGCATAGATGGCATCATGTCCTGCAGCCAATGGAGCTCCTCTTGGCGGTCCGTTTGCGTGTGCTTTGCTTTCCTTCTACTCGCCTTGATGGCCTGTTCGATTATTTTGTATATCGATTAACGATTAACGATACTTACTCTTTGCTTCGCTCGTTCCTCATTGAATTTGCATATCTGCTTGCTCATATAAGCTCGCGCACGTTTTCTAATACTCGGCATAGGTCTCGGCGCCTTACGAGCGACACTCACCTGGATGGCATCGCGCTTACCTGGCGACACCTTCAAATACTTTAGTATAGCGTTTAGACATATATTCAGATATTCCGACATTTTTATGTATATAAATAGATGTTATACATTTCTAGTTTATAGTTGGCTTGACAGCATTTTATTCCAATGCCTGATAGCTTTGGAGCAGATCGAATCGTATTTTAGCTAAAAGTAATCAACTAAGCGTTGCTCTGAAGCAAGGTAGAGTTTAGTGATCATTGACTAGAACTATTTTCAGCTTATAAATAACTAACTTGGTATATCGCAAATGCATTTTAAATTACTTTATAATGTCAGAAGTTGATGCAGAAGATGCCTTCAAAGAACGATTCGTTGCCTCGATTTAGCTGTGGAATGCAAGCTAGAGCTTGACACCTGATCACTTCGATACTCGATATCTCTTTATCGATAACAATATCGATTATACACCTGGAAAATGTTTCATATTTTATTGCCTTCATATTTCTATTCTTAAACTCTTCAAGCGAAAAATGATCTCCGAACTAGAGCACGGCCTAAAAGCAAATCCAGGTGAGGCACCTTTCAAGGTGCCTTTCACAAGTAATAAAATGGCGTAAAGTGTCGAATGCAACTGCAATTGCTGCACCGTTTTCTATAGAGCAGAGGTCCAGCCTGGCACAAGCCATGCGACGAGTCGAAGTAGAGCGAATATGCAAAGATGCTTGGAAAAGAGCCAGGGACTTTGCTGAATAGCTGTAGTGGGAGCTGAGCGGTGGAACACTGTGCACAATGCTCAGTTGGAGCACATTGAAGGGCTTCGGGTTTCACCTTGAAGGCTAATGCGGAACCTTGGCTGCGAAGTAGTGCGAGAAAACGGAGCGTTTTATTCATTCAGCAGCAAAGGCTCAGTTCAGTTTTGGTTCTTAAATAACAACTTTAAGCTAAAGACATCAAATTTAGTAAGCAAATAAAGTAGCCAGGATAGCTCTACTTATTCTCGCTAAAAGGAATGCAATTTTGAATGAAATCGTCTCACTTAACTCTCGCCTAGCTCACTAGAGTTTGCTCTCCTTGCAGATAGCTGACATGGCGTATACTTGATGACATAACAAAATGTGTGACTCGATAGATTATTCTCCTTCATTATCAATGGAGCAACATTAAGAGAGAGAGAAAGAGGGAGTGCAAGCTTAGGTCTCTTACATATATATGAACTTGATGGCCCTGGCGTGGACTTCATAAATGCATTACGGCAGCAATTGTCATGCCATTAGCTTTATTGGCAATTTGTAGTTGGAGTCCGTTACGTTCTCAGATATTAGAAAGTTTGGCTCCATGTGATTTGCTTGGCGCTGTTTTGATGGCGCTGGCCTCTAACAGCTGTTTGTGTCCTGCTTTTGTCTTGTCGTAAATTTAATGATGTTTTCATACCCTGAACCCATTGAAAATGCCAATTCGGGGTAGATTTGTGTTGTCAACAGGTCTGCCAGAGGCAGTCGGAGGCGTGGCTGTTGCCATAAATTAAATGTATTCTTAGTCAAAATGGCGAGCCGAGTCGATCGAGCCGTGTACGTCCGAGGGTCTGCCAGTCCGAGGACCTGCTCGTCCGAGGGTCTGTTCGTCCGAGGGTCTGTCAGTCCGAGAGTCCGTAATTCGGTTCTTTAATGACGGCTCTTCGCTGGGCTCAGGGTATCTCCTAGTCGTGCACTGCCGCTTGGAGCCCTGTTACTTGTGCTTTTTCTTTGCGCATCTTCGCTGCGTGGCTCTCGCTAAGCCACTTGGCGTCTAATGAAGGCGTTGATGAGACGCTGGCGCTAGCGCTGCGTCGGCGGCGGCCTGCAAGTGTGTCTAACGTTCTAGAAATAACATTTGTTGGTAATAAATTCCAAAGATAATACACCCACAGGCTCGGAGCTGTTGTGGCACAGCTGCCGCATGCCGCATGCCGCATGCCAGCCAGAAAAGGCGGCCGCCATAACTCGACTCAGCTATTTATTGCAGCAGCCAAGCGGCATCAGTTGCCAACTTGCTTGGGCCATGTTTGCTGTTTCAAGTTGTTGTTGCTGTTGCTGTTGCTGTTGCTGTTGTTGCCTGGCACTAAGCTAAGCACAAATATAAATTTGCACACACACACATTGAAATATTACACCTGCAATTGGCGCGGCTGAGAGGCGTTTTTCACGCCCACACACAATAACACAAATAAACACCCCAAACACACACACACGCACATTTCAGGTTGTTAATGAGCCTATGTGTGCGTGTGCGTGTGCGTGTGCGTGTCTGTGTGCCTCACACATAATGATGCGTTTATTAATGCCAGTCATAGTCTTTATTAACAAGATGAGCGCCCATCTAAACTAATTTTGGGTTTTTTAATTATCAAACATCATCTTGAGTTTCTTCATTCAATTATTCCTAGATATGATCTACCTAGTTGAGGCGGCTATATGAGCCAAGCACATTCACTTTGAAACAGTCAAGTTGATAAGCTGAAGACGTAGAACTATGTGGCTTGGCTTGGATTCAGACGGATTCAATATTATTTTTAGGTATGCGAACAGACGAACGGACGGACGGATGGATGGAAGAACGGACGGACGGCTAGACTGACGGACGCTTGGAAGGACAGACGGAGGAATGAACGGACCGACGGACGGAAGGAAGGACGGACGGAAGGATTGACGAACGGAGAGACGGATAGAAGGAAGGACAGACGGACGGAAGAACAGACGGACGGCTAGACTGACGGACGTTTGGAAGGACAGACGGACGGACAGACGGAAGGACAGACGGACAGACAGTTGGATGAACGGATAGAAGGAAGGATGAGCGGACGGACATATGAACGGATAGACAGATGGACGGATAGACAGATGGACGGATGGACGGACAAATGGATGAACGGATAGAAGGAAGGACAGACGGAAGAATTGACGAACGGAGAGACGGATAGATGGAAGGACAGACGGACGGAAGAACAGACGGACGGCTAGACTGACGGACGTTTGGAAGGACAGACGGACGGACGGATCGACAGAAGGAAGGACGGACGGACGGACAGACGCAAGGACAGACGGACGGACAGACAGATGGATGAACGGATAGAAGGAAGGACGAGCGGACGGAATGATGGACGGACAGATGGAAGAACGGATAGAAGAAAGGACGAACGGACGGACAGATGGACGAACGGACAGATGGACGGACTGACAGATGGATGGACGGACGGACAAAGGGAAGGCCGGACCGACGGACAACTAAAATACTCTCTTGACATCGTTTGTACTAATGAGCAGAAAACTATCAAAATTTTACTTTTTTTTAATTTTATTTAAATGTATTACAATTTAATATACATTCATATGATATGCTATCAAAAAGCTTATAATTATGTATATATTTAATCCATTTATATATATTTATATATTTGCCACCTCTGACACCTCTGGGCCATGCCAGAGCTCTATTTGTCTAAGCAGAAATGCGAGTTTAGAGCATAAAAGGTTCGTCACGCCGAAAGATAACAATGCTCCAAGTGCCTTGTGCTGCCTCCACACCCTTTTCAGCCGCCTGCCAGCCTCCCCGGCGCCAAGCTCATCTCATATACGCTAAGCTTTTGGTTTTCGTTGTTTTTGGCGCTTTCTTCTACAACATTTGCCACTTACTCATAAGCAAATGGGTCGATGTGGTGGGGGGGGGGGGGGGCGTGCGGGACGTGGAGCGAGTAGGCATGTGGCGCGTGGAATGGGCACATGTTGCTTCATTTCAACACATAGCTGGGGGCGGGGTTGGCGCACGGGGCGTGTCATTAGGTTACATACATTCCTGTAATTACAATTCACCGAGGAGCCCACAATGCGCCATATGAGCCGCAAGCCGAAAGCCGAGAACCGAGAACTGAGAACCGACAACCGAAAGGCGACTGAGCCAGGCCTCTTAATACGAGTATGCAAATCCACAGAGGGGTGGAGTGGTGGGCTGCTGCTGCTGCTGCTGCCAGGTCATCGATGGCAAAGTTCACAGTCATATGTAGATTGTCTGCTGCGTGCGCTCGTGTGTGAGTCAGACTCAGAGAGGAAAAAAGCCGTTCACCTTTTTGCAAAGCAACAACAAAATTATGTCATAAAATGTTTTTGCGTTTGCTGCTAATGCCGACGGACGGAGTGGGGCGTGAGAGACGCCCATATACAGCTTGCCACAAAATGCCGCATTAAAATCACAAAATACAAATACAATATGCAGAGGCGACACACTCTGTGGCTTCCTTCTCTCCCATAAGCGACCATTGCCACCCTGGGCCACGCCCAGCACGCCCAGCGCGCCCAACTGGCAGCAGCAACTTTTATGTTTATGAAAAATTACGTGAAAGCACCGGCACAGTGGGCGTTCGAATGGCAGGGGCGTGCCAGCCAAGTGACTAACTTTTCAAAGTTGCCAACGATAAAAGGCGCTACAAATTTCGATATGGAATATTTCCCGTTATTATCCATAACGGCAGCTGCTTTGCCCAGCACCCAAGCCCAAGCCCCAGCACCGATGGCCCCGAGCCCCATTTGCATGCAGACAAAAGTCGGGGTCTTAGGATATGCGCACATAAATGGAGCATATGGAGCGCAAATGGGGCACACGGCTCTGTGCTGATCCATTGAGCATTGAGCACGCATTAGCTGATCTCAGTTTGTGGCCAAATCAATGAACTGTTGTCTGTAAGGCAAAAGCAAATGTGTGCTAGGCGCTCTCTGTCAATTTAACTTTTGAGAATTGCATAGAAAGGCTTTACCGTTGCAATCAATGGCAAAGCTTTTTGCGCTGCTTCAGCAATTTGACAATTGATAAACGACTTCAAGGCTTCAAAGGCTTCATTTGTGTGGGGACGGCTAACACATACCCTGTAGCAATATAAAGAAGTTCTTAAGAAGTGCAGATAGCTTAGCTTTCTCATCGAAATGCACCCTCAACTCATGAGAATTGCATAGAAAGGCTTTCATTTAGAAATCAAACGAAGCGCTTTTTGTTCTCTTTATACAATTTGACAATGCACAAACAATTTGAATGTATAAACCAAACTTCCTCATCGAAATGCACCCTCATCTCATGAGAACTGCATAGAAAGGCTTATAAACCAAAAGCTTTCTGCTCT